CCCCCCCCCCCCCCCCCCCCCCCGCACAATCAATCCGTGGATGAGTTGCTCCCTTTATTGGCAGCAGATTGAGTTGGCCTGTGCTTTTGCCTCCGTTGCATCATCGTCGCTCAAGAATTTTGTCTGGACTTTTCACAAATTGCCAGTGCTGGAAGAGATTTGCATCGTCTTGGAGTCGTGTTTTTTTTCTCTCTTTTTTCATACTCCCCTCAAAATAGTCTGTTTCGATAGGTACATTTGTTTTGTATTATACAGAATTATTATTAGATTGTACACCGTGAGGTGGTGGGGGATGAATAAGGTTTTATTCGACAGGAAGTACTTTTCATTCCTAATTTTACTTCAATAATACTAAAACATAGTGACTTTTTTTAATGTAGTATGATATGTTTTTATCTCTCAATGTATTACCACTAGTCATTGTACATTAGTCATTGTTCAAGTAAATGTCGAATGCTTAGACATTATTCAAACCAAATGTCCTTCATCACTGGATATTGTTCTAGTCAGTAGACATTATTCAAGTACTATTTAGGAAATAAAAAAGTTTAAGTATTGCATTGAGAAATAATATACGTTTTAGTATTATTTAGTGTAAATTTATTTACTTCGGTTTAAATCAGCAAAGTTCACCCCCTCCACTAACGACTGCACTAAAACAAGCTATGGTTTTTTCCAACTTCAATTTTCACTTAAATACCTCATATCCTTATGTGTCATGCACTCATACCCCAAAACCAAAAATATCAAAGATGATGGAAAATGTCTATTTATTAATCTTATGTTTGGCTCAAGAAATTTAAAAAGGAAAAAGAAAAGAAAATTAGATACTAACCCCCCTCCCCGCAACCCGAATCACTATTCCTACTCTCGCTTCATTTGAAAGTAGATTAAAGCTCGCATCCACGTCGTACTCTATCTTGAACCATTTTTATTATAAGCACTATCCTTAAAATGATTCACATTTCTCATTTTTATCCTCTTATATCCTGTCAATTCAACTTATATTGGATCAATGTTCTTACCCTCCTATTTCAAGTCAATCTCTACTCATCAAGGTTAGTCCTAACCAAAATGGATTTTTTACTCTGTATATTTTCATTATTAAAAATAATACTCAATCATTTATCACTTCATTTTCAATAAACTTTTACTCTTTTACTTACTTCGTCTCAAAAAGAGTGTCATGGTTATGATTTAAGTCTCTCGATAACTGTTGTTTATTTACTCGTTTTCGATGCTTATCGCATTTTATTTTGTAAAATCTTTGATGTACTTTTGATTTTTGAACAGTGTAATTTGTACATTTTATTTTCTTACTAATTTGTAAATCAAACAATTTTAAAAAATACAATATTTTGTACATTAGTCAATATGTGGGAAACAATTTGGGATGAGAGTAAGTTTTAACATTAGGTTACAGTGCATTGCAAATACCACTACGAAATACGGAGTAGTCCGTATGTACCAATAACGTATTAGAACATTTCTGACCCTTAACTTTGGACTTGCTAAATGCCATAATTTGGTAAGTGATGTCAATTTTTGTGCTCCAAGGGACTTGTTATTTAATAACACACTTGTTTAATTGTAATTTTGTCTTGTTATGTAAAGTAAGCCTATCAAAACATAGCAAGTCGTGATATAAATAAAATAATTGATTTTTGTCTCTTCTTCTCTCTCATTTTCCTCTTCAGAAAATATTTTCGTACTTCTACTTCTAATTATCTACTCTTTAGTTGATATTTAGTAAAAAAATAAATGAATACATATTATACTTTATTATTTTACCTAAAGTAAAATATACTTCGTATAATTTAAATTATTATATTTAAATTACATACTTATTACTTAATTTTTATAATATAAAAGAATATTCCCTCTGTCTCATTTTAAATTGCATATTTGCCTTTTTTCTCCGTCCCAAAATAAGTCAACTGTTAGTTGTTTTCGTAAACTTTTAAAAATAAAATACCTAAACTACCTTTAAAATAAGTCACTCTTCTTCACCTTATCTTCTCATTCATCATCACGCCTCCTAAAAAGTAATGTCAATTTCGAAAGATTAACTCTATTTTTATTTTCTTTAAATATGCCCAAAAATCAAAACAAGCGATTTAAATTGGGACGGATGGAGTATAATTTAAAAATTATTATAAAAAGTGTAATAGTTGTAAACATGTTATCTTTAGCATTTTTGGATTCCACCTTTTATCTCTCAATCTCAGTCTTCTGGCTGTGAATCTTCTTCTCCATCTCAGCCTCTCAATCTCCAGGCAGAAGAGGCAAGAAAGATAGTTCTAATACCAACTGGAGGAATCAAGAAGTAATACACTTAAAGCGATTGAATTAGAGGGAAATGGCAATGGCGGTTGCAACCCCAGCAGCAGCCTTTTCTACTACCGGTTTCTTTCCCGGGGTTTATCCCCTCCCCGGATGCAACCGGCTACTGGCCGGAGGAACAGTACCGCTCCATCTTCTTGGGACTAAATCGGCGCAACTCAGAGCTGCTGGGTTGAGGAGGAGGAGGAGGCGGAGCCGCCCCACTATAGTTGCAGCTTTAGGAGGTCTCTTCGCCGGGATCTTCAAGTCCGCCGATTCCGGCGAGTCCACTCGAAAGCTGTACTCCTCCGCCCTCTCACTAACTAACGGCTTTGAGTCTCAAATGTCTTCGTTATCAGACTCTCAATTGAGGGATATGACCGCCACTTTCCAACAGCGGACCCGCGCGGGTGAATCTTTGGACTCCATTTTACCTGTGAGAGAGTCTCTTCCTTGTATCTTTAAGCATCTTTCAACTACTGAGTGTATCTACTTCGGTTCTCAAAGAAAATAAAAATCAAAACTCTGTAGGTAACAATTAAAACAATGGAAATCAATTTACAAATTACAAACTTTTATAGTAACTGCTTAGTGCCTACTTTTAGGTAACGTAAGCTAAGCCTTAATGCAATATAATGGAAGCAATTCATAGTATACATCTCTACCACGAATTAGCTCTAGTAAACCTTACCAAACATTTCCTTAGTCCAATTCAGAATCATTTCTCCATTTATGCTCTGCATACTTAAATAGCTATTAAGTATGTGACACTTCAGTGATTTCAGATTCTCTTCGTGCCAGATTATCCTTGTACAATATCCAAAACATGGTTTGCTTGCAGGAAGCATTTGCTGTTGTAAGAGAGGCTTCAAGACGGGTTCTCGGGCTCCGTCCTTTTGATGTGCAGCTTATAGGTAGGATTCTAGATCCTCCTATTTTCCAACATATGTAGTTTATTTGGCTCAAGATCATTAATTTCTACCTTCTTGGTAAATATTACTTTATTTGATTACATTGTAATGACTTTAGATATATAAATCAGTTTCCACATGTTTACACAAAATTTGAGTTATAGATTTAAGAACGCGGATTCTCATTTGCTCTAATTTATTAAAACAGGGGGCATGGTTCTTCATAAGGGACAAATAGCTGAAATGAGGACTGGGGAAGGAAAGACACTTGTTGCTATACTACCGGCATATTTGAATGCATTGACTGGAAAGGGAGTTCACGTTGTTACAGTAAATGATTATTTAGCCAGACGAGATTGTGAATGGGTTGGACAAGTTCCTCGCTTTCTTGGACTAAAAGTTGGCCTGATTCAACGTATGTCCTCTAAACTTTACTGGTCTCAATTCTGCACCTGCATTATTGTTTTATACTCCGTATTATAAATGTGCTACTGTGCCTATATGCATTTCATACTCTCCTGCAACTATGCTTGTTCTTTTATTCTATTTTCCTATATTTTCTTAAATATTTAATGATTTATGTTTGGTCCTTGGCAAGAGGTAGCTGGACTTCATCTACTGATGAGGTCTACTTTCTGTACTCTTATTTTCTTATTCTTGCTCGATGATGAGATATACTCTTTGATCTGATGATGACTTTTGCTTTTTGAGCAGAAAATATGACAAGTGAGCAGCGGAGAGAAAATTATCAATGTGACATCACATATGTGACTAACAGTGAGCTGGGATTTGATTACCTGAGAGATAATCTTGCCACGGAAAGTAATTATTTTGCTTAGAGAAGTGTTTTTGAATTACAAAAATATTTATGCTATATTGAAAAAACACATTTAGAACAATAGTGAACGTGGTTTTTAATGTGCTTCTCTCCTACGTGATTTTTTCCCTCTGCAGAGTGTGGACGAGCTTGTGTTGAGACGTTTTAATTACTGTGTAATTGATGAGGTTGATTCTATCCTAATTGATGAGGCCAGGACTCCTCTTATCATTTCTGGACCTGCTGAAAAGCCAAGTGATCAATATTATAAAGCTGCTAAGATAGCTGCAGCCTTTGAACGAGATATACATTACACAGTAAGAAATGAGAAATTAAGAGTAATGATTCTGTAAGCAAATTTCCATTTCTAGTGTACCAGACAAATATCACATACAACAACAACCCACAGCTGAATCCCACAAAAGTAGGGTCTGGGGACAGGCAAATATCACATAGTGAGGATAATTTCCACTTTCCATGTAGAGGGAGATATTGTTATTTATATCTTCATTGACATCATTTTATTAACTCCCAATATCATTGCTATTGCAGGTTGATGAGAAGCAAAAAACTGTTTTGCTCACAGAGCAAGGTTATGCGGATGCTGAAGAAATTCTAGACGTGAAAGATTTATATGATCCACAAGAGCAATGGGCCTCATATTTATTGAATGCAATAAAAGCAAAGGAACTTTTTCTCAGAGATGTGAACTATATCATTCGTGGCAAGGATGTCTTTATAGTTGACGAGTTTACTGGTCGGGTCATGCAGGTGATTTCCTAATTACCCCTCTATCAGATAATGAGTTATTTGCTTAATTTTCAATTTTCTATCCAGAAGTTTGAGGGGCAGAACACTAGATTGTTATAAACTTTTTTAGTCTCCTCAGGGAACATGTCTATGCATTTTAAAGAATTGAATAAGTAAATATATTTTGTTAGAT